TCTACTAGTACTTAACTAGGCCTTCTACAGATGGAGAAATTAGGATATGGAGATATATTACGTAACTCCCTCAAGGTAACCTGCTTATAAGTGACAGAGCAGGCATTTGAATCAACATGTGTCCAAATCCAGCCCATATATGCTGTCCTAACCCACCTCCCCTATTGAAATGAAGGATAAGTAAGATTGTTAGTTCTTTAAATTCTTAGAAACTCAGTCTGTAAATCATCAGGACTTTGGAAGTACCGTTCTTTCTGGTTTTGCTTACCACTGACTCCGTAGTACAGATTAAAAATAATGTCTGTAATCTGTTCATTAAACAAGCAGTTACGTACTACTTGCTCTGTGCCAGGCACTGTTCTAAGCACTTCAGAAACCACATCCATGTGAAGATTGTATGTATCCCCATTTTGCAGTTGAAGAAACTGAGATTCAGAGAATACTGCCTGAGATTGAGTGAAGGTTGTGGTTCTCATTTAAACCTGGTCCAAACTGTTTTAGTCATTAGGCTATGTCAGCTGTCACATAGGTTGGGGAGGAAAATACAAAGGACAAATTATTTTAAAAAGCAAATATGACATTATCATGTTACTTAAAAGCTAAACTATTAAGCAACTATGGTTCATGCATTCAGGAACTAAATTAGATCATAAAGTTTAGAGACATAATAACAAGTATGAACTAGAATAGATAGAAAAATTTCTGTTGAATAAGTGGGGTGCAGAAGTGGGATAGAATTTGTATAGAAGCAAGGAGAAGGGAATTTCGCTCATTTATTCAGGTGATCAACTTGAGTCATGCCATGGAGAGGAAGATTGGTTTTCCAAACAGTATCTATGATCAACTGAATCATAAATATATTTTAATTAATGTTTTATAGAGATGGGTAGGAGACATTCAGCTTATTTAGCCCTTTAAAAGTCAGGAAAAGGAGTTTAGACTTTTAATGGTTCCAAAGTAAGGCTTTGAATAGTGGAAAAGTAAGGCTTTGAAGTTGTGAGGAGAGGATTAGGGTGTTAAAACGGCGTTTGCATGACATGAATCTGGATCATTTTCTGGAGCCATTAGAAAAGAGGGCATGGAGTTATAGAATCCTGGAATCCCCAAGTAGTGGGTAGAAAAGTCAGGTGTTAGAGTGGTAACGTCAGGAATGAAATAGAATTGAACCCCAAAGAGAAATTCTCAAAGAATAATGGCTGAATTGCTGCTGACTGACTGCACATGAAGGATAAAGGAGGAGAATATATTTTAGAAGTACCATTCCTGGATTTATGTTTCTCTCTCCCCCTCTCTCTGTCTCTGCCTCTCCTTCCCAGGACGCTTCCACCTACTCTGTAGATAAGTTCTTTTATTAGGATTATGGACCACTAGTTAGGAATTGTTCTTTTTGAATAAGAACCCGAGGTTTTCAGATGATTTGGGAAAAACTGTTTTTTGTTGTTTTAATTTGTCCCAGTAATATAGTCTGTTCTGTTTAAATAAATTTGGCCATTCTGTTTTGTTTCATTCGTGTGACTTTTAAGGGCTTTTCTAGTTAATAACAAAATTATAGCACAACTAAGAATAGTTTTTTTTTTTTCTTGCTGTTCCACTGTTAACTTGAAAGATGCCTTAACTCCAGTTGTAACCTTCCTTGTCCTAGCATTCAACAAGAAGGGGAGAGGGATTTATGATTTTTCTAGAGACAGTATGCTGGAGTTTTATTGGAATGAAACACAAAGGTAGTAAAGGAAATTGTGCTCATTAGGGTACATCCCAGAATCGTTCTTTGAAGGAAATAATTGCTTTGGAGAATGCATGAAGTCTTCAGATTTGTTACATTTGCGAAAAAATTAGATGATTTTCCCGAGTTACTCAACGGCTTCTTATAGTACATTAATGATGTGCTATAGCTGGTTTCTTTTTCAATTAAAAGCACATTTACAGAGTGTGTCCTATGTCTTTCTTTCCTTTTTTTCTTTTTTTAACATTCTGAGTACCTAGAAGTATTCCATGCTTATTAACTTACAAGATGCCAAGGATTGATAGCATGGACCCTGCCACATGTGAAAGCCATCTTTTTGATTAGATCAGAGGGATTCGATGTATATTGAATGACTATAGCAAAGGGTGGAGCCAGGAGGACTACATATGGCATTAGAAACACTAGTGCTCTGAAGTTTAGATCTTACAAAAAAAAAAAAAAAAGAAAGAAAGAAAAGAAAAAGAAAAAAAAAAACATCTAGAAAGATCACTGTGCTGGGACAGACTATGAAAAGACCAAGATCTCTTGGAATTGAGAAGCCCAAAGCATAGCAGGGAGACAGCAGTTCTGGCCTGAGTCTCAAGAGTTATGAAGCCGAAATCCCACTGCAAAGAGCAGAAATTTGAACTGCTCAGAAGAGACATGCAGGGCATAAAGCTTATATTCTGACAAGTTAGAGTTGAATTCAAACCTGGATAGGGTCTGGATAGCAGATACAGAGGACACAGCTGGCATGAACTTTTACTGAACCAAGTTCCTCTGGAACGGAGGACCTTAGTAAGCTTTCTGCCTGAGATGAAGGGGAGGGAGTGAAAATATTAAGAGTGAAGTACCCCACAGTTGAGGGACCAATCAGTACTGGAAAAGTGAATTGTTGGAAGCCATTTAATTCACAACCTTGTTTTTGTTACATGCTGAGTTACGCATGATGTCCCCCAAAGTCTGTAGCTTCATTTTGTCCTTTAAGTGGTGGGTAATCATTGCACATGTTTTAACATTTTGAGAGCAGTTTAGTTGTGAGAGCTTTTCAAAAGTCTTTAAAGCCCTTGATAGTTATAGAACTCCATTTCAAAGTTCTTTCCATTCTTCCCTCCTTCTTCACATATATTTCTCTCAGAACTTCTCTCCATTTCCATAATAATGAATGCTGCAAGATGTAGCTAATATATTCAATTAAATAATGATTAAAATGATAAATTTTAACAAGTATGAACCGAAACACAGCAACAGTTATTTTTTTTCCCCTAAGCCTATTTTCTCTTACAACCTACAAATAAATGGTTTACTTGGGCACTGGAAATATGATTATTGGTAACATTTGAAAGGTTTATTTAGGGCAAAAACCTAAGTGAAAAAGTACGATTAGAAGGCTTGAATAGAATTTGTTTGGCTTAAGCAATATACAATATCTGTATCTCACAACTTGATTATAATTTAAACTTTTAAAAAATGATTTACCTGTCTCTAAACCAACCATATTGTAAATACCTTTCTCCACTTCCCTATTCTAAATCAGCTAAATCACTAAGCTACTGAATATTTTCTGAATTGTTCACTTCTATCAGAAGATACAACATTGTTTATCAGCCCATATTTAACTCATTGCCTCCAAGATTGTATATTACTAGAATCAAGTGCACACTAGACCCTAAATACTTTATGAAGAAATGAATGATTTGGTGTAATATGAATTTCACTGAATAGTTTTATGTTTACTTTTTTCTTGACCCTATTAAAATACACCTTACTCTTCATTGAAAAGGTTATTTTTAATTTAAAAATAAGTTATTTAGTTGTAAAATATCATTTGAAATATTTTTCTATGGTAGTGAATATCTAGTAAGTGTATAAGGAGATATTATGGCAATGTTTTCAGATATTAAAGTCACCAAATACCAAAAAAGAACTCTTTTAGTACGTTTGATTAAAATAATGTGTCTGTGGCCAGTATATGTATCATGAAAACTATTGGGGTTTGTTAATTACATTTGTTTGTATGTCTGTGGTTAGCATCAGGGACTTTATTACTCTTGGGGGGTTTTGCTTCCAGGTATTCATACCATGCTCATATTTGAGTTATAATTAAAAAGAACTGTTTCTATTTTTTAAACTTTTGTTTTCTTATGCTAGTTATAATTGTGAAACTGTGTGTTATTTGTTGTGTAAGTACAGGCTTTCCTCAAACCAAAGAAATGTTAGATTTAAGACTAAAAGTTCTTTCTAAAACCATTCAAGTTATTTTGTAAATTTCAGAAACAATGCATGAACGTTTAAAAATTGTATCAACTGGCTAGCAAAAAATTGCTAAGGATCCTGGTCTGATACAGCGTCCCACCTTACATCTTTTTGTGGTCATTATCTAGTAGGAGGCCCACAGTATTTTCCAGGAAGAACGGATGTTGACACCATAATGACCGTGTCATAGCTATTTGGCTTAAGGTTCTGTTCTCAAGTAGGCAATTGAAATTGTTTAAAATTTGGGAAGAAAGTTTTAGACTGGACATGTATTGATGAATTTATACATGATAAATTTATACAAGTACAAATTTGGTGTTCTTACCAAGAAGTATTTTTGTAAAATTGGTGGTTTCTAAGTATGGGGCATGGCAGTATTGCACATAGAGTTGTTAATAAGTGCTCTACGTTAGCAGTTTTGCCTTTTTAACCCTTACGTAGTTCATATGTATAGGATTTCCTTTAGTGCCCTGAGAATTCCTGAATTCCTCAATCAGAATTCTGGGAGAGAATTTTTTCCCTTTGTATTCGCATTGTTTTTTTTCGAGAGCTGTTCCAACGAAATATAATGCAAGCCGAATATGTAATTTTAAATTATCTAGTAGCCACATTAGAAGATACAAACACGTGAAATTAATTTTAGTAAAATAGTTTATTTAAACTCTATTTAAAATATTATAATTTGATCATGTCAATATTACGAAGTTATATTTTTACCTTATTTTTGGTACTACGTCTTTGAAATATGGCATATATTTTATATTAAGGGCCGATCTCAGTTGAGATTAACCACATTTCAAGTGCTTATTAGCCATGAGCCAGTTAGATAGCATGGATAGGCCTATATTACAAGTAGATATGAATATCCTGACACATGGTGTTCCCAGAAATTAACCATAGGCTTCTTACTGGTAAGAAACAAGTTATTATGCATTATCAAAACTGAAAATATAGAAATGTTTTATATTCTATTCCAAATAAATGAAAATGTACCTCACTTACAAAATGTTGTACATTACAGAGAGGAGAACCCTGGAAAGTATCAAAGAAGGAGTCTTAAAGATTAAAGAAGAACCATCTAAAATACTGTCTGGAAATAAGTTTCAAGATCGGTATTTCGTTTTACGAGATGGGTATCTCTTTCTCTACAAGGATTCAAAGGTAGTTGTGTATTTAGTATTTGAATATGTGTGCATGTTTGTGTGGGTATTAGCAGTGTCATTTATACCTCTGTCAGTATCTTTTTGGCAGTCAGGCCCTGGGAGTAAATAGAACACACAGTAAGCTCGTGATTTCTTGCAGCCTCTGGATGGAACATGAATACACCAAGTGACAGAGTAAAGAACTTCATGTGGCGCTTCTCATTTTTTAGTGCAAAGAAGTCCTTAAAGAAAAAGCTGATATGTGCTACATAAGCTAGCATGTAAATCAGCATCTTTATCAATAAAATTAAGAGCCATCAAAAAGGATGAAATCTTACCAACTGGAGGTACTATGCTGATTGAAATAAGTCAATCAGAGAAAGACAATTATCATATGGTTTCACTCATTAGTGGAATAGAGGAAACTCAAGATCTTGGAGGGAGGGAAAACTGAATGGGAAGATATCAGAAAGGGAGACAAACCATGAGAGGATCTTAACTCTGGGAAACAAACTGAGGGGGTGGGGGAATGGGGTAACTGGGTGATGGGCATTCAGGAGGTCATGTGATGTGATGAGCACCAGGTGTTATTTGCAACTGATGAATTACTGAAGTCTGCCTCTGAAACTAGTGATATAATATATGTTGGCTAATTGAATTTAAATTTAAAAAAGAGAGAGGGAATGTCATGCTCTGAGGCAAAAGTGGCTTGAGTTTAGCTAATGGAAGTTAATAGAATGTAGGATAAAAAGGCAAAAGCCTTTTGCTGTTGTATCCCTGTAAGTTTGAATTTTCAAAAGCTTTTGTTAAGGAGTTGTGGAATGGAGAAGGAAAATAGAGATGAGAAAGGGAATAGATAAATTTTGGAATCATAAGAATATTGATTAATATCAGAAAACCTCTAATCCACTAAGTGGGTTGTATGAATAAATAACTTAAGCTCTCAACCTCAATTTCTGAATCTGTAATATGGTGATGATAGTATGAATCCTGCATACCAGTTTATTTTAATGCTGTTAAGAATATATGTTCTTTTAAACCATGAAACATTACATATGTAATATTATATATATATTAATGTGTGTGTGTGTATATATATATATATATATATGTAGTGTGAAACACTATACAGTAATAGTATAGTATTATATATTGGTAATAGCATGCTCATCAAGACTTCATAAAGAATATTAATGGGCAAATCCCAGACAGAGAAAAATATATTCATAGTACATATATCTGAGAAAGAATGCATATCTAGAATATGAAGAATAATAAATCAACACTAAAAAGACAATACAATGAAAATTGGGATGCAGTATTGAATAGACACTACATGAAAGAAGATGGAAGAATGGCTAATATAACCATTGAACTAAAAGCACTCAATGTAATAGTCACCAGGGGCACGCAAATTGAAACCACACAATACTATTTTATGCCTCCCGATATGACTAAGGATGTTGATTAACTGTGTAGAACTGCTTGGTAGTTTTTAAAAATGAAGTTATTCATATATCTACCCCATGATCCAACATCTTGATTCCTAGGTATTATGTCCACAAAGCACTTGTTCCAGAATGTTAATATACAGCTTTTACTCAAACAAGCTAAAACCTGGAAACATTCCAGATGATTCAACATCAATAAAAGAATGATATATTCATACAATAGAATATTACTCAGCAGCAAAAATGAATACTAATGAATGTAACAACATGGATGAGTCTTTGAGCCCTTATTGAGCAAAAAGAGTGATACAAAATGGTACCATATGAGTTTGTATATTAGAAGTCTAAGAACAGGCAAAACCATTTATGATGAAAGAAGTCTGGAAGTGTCTGCCTGGTGTGTAGAGAAAGATTGCTGCAGCAGCAGGATGATGGAGTCAGTAAGAACCTTTTCTAAGATGATAGAAATATCTCTATCCAGTTTTGTGTGGTGATTACAGGAGTGTATGCAGTAACATCTCCACTTCCTTGAGATTCAAATAACATCTACATAATTATTTTAAATGAAGAATGACAGCAGGAGCTAAAGGCACCTTTTTTATATTGAATTACAAGACTCACTGGGGTAAACATTGCTTGCATACTTTAAGTGTGTGGTGCTTCACTGTGATGTTTTGTGGAGATGTATAAAGACAAACCAGACTAGTAACATCTGTGAATATGTTATGAAGAAAGGATTCCTAGGCAGCTTTCCAAAGCTCTGTGGTCTCATTTTGTTATGGCTTCTGTTGAGCTCCCCACATGCTTTGACCGCTTTCCCTATATGTTCCTCCAGCAGTGAGGCCTCCATGTGGGCATAAATAAATCTGAGCAGCATTCCTCTTTTGATTAGGACAGTGGACTGTCCAGGCAGGGAGGCTAACAAAACAGCACTGATTCTGCAGCCCTCATCAATTCAGAGCTGTATTAAATACTGTACTGGAACTCCATTCTTATTATTCCATCTGAAAGACCCGGCAGGGAGTCTGTATAGGTATCAAGTGGTTATTATTTGTTATCATTCTTCCGTTTTTCTAGTGGAGGAAGAGTGGAGTTTGCAGAAGTAAGGCACAGAAGAATTAGGGATTGTGTGAACTGAACACATCAGATTTTAAGGTTCATGAACTTGAGATTTGTGTACATGAAGTAAATTCAGGACTTCACAGCTGATTATCCTAGCCATCTAGAACCGAATCTGATTAAATTTTCTTTGTTTTTCTTCAATCTTCTTTAGACTGACTTTCTTAATCCTTGCCCTTCTATATACATAATATGTTGGTTAAGGGCCAATTCTGTAGTTGGATATCTGCTTAGCATATTTAAACATGAACCTGAACTTTTTAGTCCCATTAAGGAACCAACACTTGTATCGTGTAGCAACAGAAGGTCACTAGAAACTAGTGGTTAGTCATAGTAAAGGCAGTGGAGTCATAATGGCAGCAATTAGCATTCAAGATTCAGCTGGTTGCTCTATAAAAAGTAGAGTTCTATACATTTCACTTGTATTATCTCGTTTTACCTTTATCATAACTATATGAAATTAGTACTATACAATTTTCCCACTTTACCGATGGAGAAATGGAACTTACCAAGATGTTACATTACTTGCCCAATATCCCATAGCCAGTAAGCAACAGAGTGTTCATTCCCACTTTGGAGTGTCGGACTCCAAAGGCTCCAATCAGGGACTTACTAAACAAATAATAATTTTGCATTATTTTAACATGGTGGTTAAGTCTTTTTCCTTTGAGCAATACCAAATATTATAATTCATGTAAATTCAGTTTTTTATAGTGTTTTCCCCCAAGCTGATATAAATTTAAAAATCTGCCACAAGGAGCTTGTTCGTAGACAAGTGATTTTTTTTTCAGACAGATTGATTTTGTGAGATAAAGAATCTCATACCCTTTAACAGAACATGTTTTAAGAATTTATATCTTTTTGAAAGCAACATCCTGTTTAAGATAATTCATATAGTGACAGTGTTTATATGAGTTTGTCTAAAAGAGTGGTTATCTTTTTTTTTCTTTTTTTGGAGTTTGAAATACTTCTTTTTCCCAGCCTGAGATATAATTGACAAAAAATTGTATGTATTTACATTGTACAAGGTGATATTTTGTTGCATGTACACATTGTGAAATGATTATTGCAATCAAGCTAATGAACATATCCATTACCTCACATAGTTATCTGTTGGCTGTGTGTGTGTGTGTGTGTGTGTGTGTGTGTGTGTGGTGTGTGGTGAGAACATTTAAGATGTACTCTTAGCAAATTTCAAGTATGTTGTACAGTATTAACAGTAGTCACCATGGTGTGCATTAAATCTCCAGAATATCTATTCTGCATAACTGAAATTTTAAACCCTTCGACCAGCATCTCTCCATTTCCCCCATCCCTGACAACAACCATTCTATTTTCTGCTATGATTTCGACTTTTTTAGATTCCACATGTAAGTGAGATACACTATTTGTCAAAAAGACAGTGCTCTTTAAGGACAAATTTTGTTTTTGTAACAGTGACTTCAGAGGATGGGGTTATAATTATTGTGCTGAAAAGCTGTATTTGCACATCTGTCAGAATAAATTAATGCAACTGATACTTTAATTTGCACATTTAGGCAAGCAGAGGAGTCTCGACTTACAGTTTTCCTTAAACCACCATTATTTTCAACACATGACTTTATGTGGCTGGTTATTTTTTCATGTTGCTGCTCTGTCCCTTTTAATATTGATGGTCGAGTCATTGGTAATGTTAACATTTCCAATTATCTTACAGTAAATAAGCAATAGTGAAAATCTCCTAACTTATTTGAATAAACATTTGCCTCTGGTTTTGACAGTTACCATTAATATATGTATATTTGTCTATACTTAGAAAATGATTTGCTGAGAAGGAAGTGGAAATTATAAATTGAAAAGTGTATTTAAAAAGACTGTGTTAATTAGAGATAATTTATGAATGCTCATTAACAACAAATTAGGGTAATACACAGGGGAAGATATATTTTGTTTTGAGTTTTCCCTGCACAGAAAATGTTAATTAAAATGTTTTCAGACTTGATTTACATAAAAGGTGAGAAGTTTCAAAGAATATTACCATTATACTGTTAATGATGTGAAAAAACCAAGTGAGTAAGGGAGGGGTCATTAGTTGCATGCACTAATAAGCAAACTCCTTTTAGTAGCAAGAATAATTTTTTAAGCACACTAATTTAATTGGCTAAGTTAAAAAACTTTATTTTAAATTATAGTGCCTGAAGTAACATGTTAGAGACTTCCCAAACAGTCCAGTATTTTGAACTTTTCGAAGCAATTCTCCAGAAAATATACATACCAAAGGAGAGAATTGTAATAAACCAACAGTAAAGTTATCTTGCCAAATGAGGTTTCTTTTTATAGAACTTTCCATTAGTATCCTTAGAGTTCCACTTCATGCATATTCAATTTAAAGACAAACTAAAAAAAGCTTGCTTTCCACTGTTGCGGATTTCCTCTCAAATTCTGTCATTAGCATTCTTTTTGGACAGGATATGGTATAAAGTCATGAGCTTGCATGTCAAGAGTGGCTTGAGAATCTGTTGTAGGACTCCAGACAATCCACTGCCAAAAGCACTTGACGACGTAGGCAGTCCCGGACTTACTGATGTCTTGTTAAGATTGAAGACCACCCGCTTCAGCAGTGCTTCTCTCATTCTGAACCGTGCAAATCCCATCTTACCCACACTGCTGGAACTCCTGCCTCTCACCTTACCTGGCTGCCTCACTCCGGACTGAGTCCAAGGGAATAGCAGTCTCAACTACGCAGATGGACATTCACCTCAGCTGCTGTCTCATGTAGTATCTCACAGGTGTGGCCAGGAGGCTCCACACCTGTACACGTTCCTAAGTTCTCCTTGCTTTGAGTCTCTCCTACATGGAATATGTCCTGCCTTACAAAGCTAGCTTGCTCTTCTATATTAGACTTCAGTGCTAATTAACATTCAGTAAAGTAGCACACTACAAAAACAGTACCTCAAAACCAGTCCTCAGTTGGGATAAAAGACAAAACATAAACTACCAGAAAATGACCTTAACATTAGAAGTAGAGGCTTTATGAAGGAAACTACAGAACTTCACTGAGAGAAATAAAATTTATGTCAAGTCTAATATTTATTTATAGGTCTGATGCAATTCTTTTCAAAATCCCAAAGGAATTATTTTTAGAATCTGGCAAAAATGATGTGCCTCCAAGTGTAAACAGATAAGAATACGTGCAAACATTTTGGAGCATAAAAAATAAAATAGGGGCTCCTGGGTAGCCCAGTCAGTGAAGCATCTGCCTTTGGCTTGGGTCATGATCCCTGGATCCTCGGATTGAGTCCTACATTGGACTCCCTAGTCAGCAGGGACCCTGCTTCTCCCTCTCCCTCTGCTGCTCCCCCTGCTTGTGCTCTCTTTTTCTCTCTTAAAAAAAAATAATAATTGCATAGTATTTTCCATCCAACTGTCATGCTATACAATAAAGCTGAAATAGCCAAGATAATATGATCCTGGCATGAAAATGAACAGAGATAGCTGTGCTACCCTTAAGTAAGGTAAAAGACCTAATTGTATATTAAGGTTTACTTTTGGTAAATTTGCCATTATAAATGCAGGACTAAAGAAGAGTTTATTAACTAGGACTGGAATAATTGTTAAAAATTTCAATTTAAATTCTCATCTTTACTGTAAATAAAATGTATACTCCAGATTGACAGAAGTAAAACTCTAGAAAGTGCAACCCTTCAAATTACATGGCCACACAATTCGGTATTTGTCAGCTATGTGAGAATCCTTTAAAGTTTAAGAGATAAAGTTCAAAAGAAAAGATCAGTATGACTTCATAAAAATAATAAAAGTAAACAGCAAAATTAAGGCAAACAGCAATTTGTGTAGAATATTTCATTTAAAAGGACAAGGCAGTTTGTTATTTGATATAGATAAAACTAATTCAAACAAGACAAATTGTTGACCAAGTCAAAAGTGAAAATTACTAATGACTACATGAGTGTATGTTTAATTGTAAGTAAATGCACACTATCAGTTTGGCCAAAATCTTATTTATTTTTTAAGCTTTTATTTATTTGAGAGGGAATGAGAGTGTGAGTGAGGGGGAGGGGCAGAGGGCATGGAACAAGCAGACACCATGCTGAGGATGGAGCAAGGCAGGGCTCGATCCCATGACCCCAAGATCAGAACCTGAGCCAAAATCAAGAGTCAGTGCTCAACTACCAAGCCACCTAGACACCCCCCAAAATCTGAAACACATTCCTAGCCTTTAGTCCAGTGATTCCATTTCTAGAAATATAGCCATAAGAGAAAAAATATCCAAACTATTTTAAATCATCTACCCTGATGATAATAGCAAACATTGATCATAGTGACCAGGAGTAAATTCCCCGTGTACACTCCAGGCTTCATCAATGCCATAGAGCACTGGTCACCCAAGCATTATTCTTGATCATCTGCTTCCTTACTTTTACCTTTTTATTTTCTTTGTATTCTCTTAGCCTTTTTTCTCTGTGAAAGGCAATTTTTAATTTTATAAACGTATTTCCATCCTTTACTTTTTAAATACAACTGCTTTCATGAAAAAAAAAGACTTCAGAGTCATAGTTTAACTCATATAGAACTAGTACTAATTTCAGCTAAATGTACTTAGTACTGAATTTCAGCCAATATTTGCAAAGTGAGCTTTTGCATCCTGTCCTAGGATTCTAACAACGTGTCTGTATTACTGCGTCTCTGAAGCAATGTGTTCTAAGTTCCTGAAAACAGCTGTAATTTATTGCACACTTACTACATGCAGATTACTGGACTAAATGCTTTATAGACATTTTTCTCATTTAATCTGTAGAATAATCCTATTAGTACCCCTTTCCTTACTCAGTCTTTTTTTCTTAAGATTTTATTTATTTTTTTTTTTTTGAGAGAGAGAATGAGCAGGGTAGAGGGACGGAGTGACATACAGACTCCCTGTTAATCAGTGAGCCTGACGTGGGGCGTGATCCAAGGACCCTGTGATCATGACCTGGGAGCCGAATTCAGATGCTTAACAAACTGAAGTGCCCAGATGCCCCCTTACCTAATAATAACCCTCTGAGTGCTCGCTTCGGCAGCACAGATATAATAATAACCCTCTGAGGTACTCAGTATTTTTATTATCCATGTTTAATAACAAGAAGAGCAGAGAAAATTAATGTGAAGTCACAAACTAAGTAGCAAGCCAGATTTGCACCTAGGTTTCCATGATCCCAAACCCCTTGCTCTTAATAATAAATGCTACATTCCTAACACTTTGAAATATATATTTCCTTCAGAATTTTTAGGAGAGAAAGCATGTGGTAATATTCATTTCCAAGGCTATTATCTTTATAAAATTATTTCAGTTTATCCAAGGATAAATAACAAAATGTGTGGTTTGATGAAAGTTGTGAAATTAGAGTATAATGATTCAGGTTTTGCCTCATGACCTATGTTCCAGTATTTTAAACACATATTAGTTACAGACAAATATGTTAGGATGTGTATGGAGAATAGAATGGGTCCAGAGCAGATGTAAATTTTTTAATAGTCTACTTTTATGAATTATTTGTGAAAAATGATATTAATATGAATACTTGAGATCATTATGTACTCATAAAGGTTCATAGTATGTTTTCCATCATTCTAAAATCCAAAAAGTACAGAAAATCATAATACATTTGGTAGCAAAACCATTAACATGAAGGTAGTTTCCTTAGTTATATGAATACAGGGTGCTGCCTGCAGACAACGCTGGTGGAATTACATGATATTGTATATGATTCTATTTTTAAATTATGAAAAAAATGAAAAATTATCAGTTCTGATATATATATCTGGTCCTAGGTGTCATGAATAAAAAATATTGTGTTTATATATACATATACACACATACATAAATATGCATGTATATCCAAAATTTTATACTTGAATGTATAACATTGTAATCAGAACAATCTTCATGTACTGAAAACTTGGTATAACATCCATGAAACATTGAAGAAATAAACAATTCCAAGTCCAGTCATTATTACTCAAGAGAAATATAAAGATATTTATGAAGTCTATTTAATTACAAATTATTTTTTTTCCTTACAGAGTAGTAAATATGACAAAATGTTTTCTCTTGCTTCAATGAAGTTTTATCTTGGAGTGAAAAAGAAAATGAAGCCTCCAACAAGGTAAAGTTTGAAAGGGAAAGGTTTTTGAAAAAGTATAAAAGTCTTAGGAATATGTGTCTATTTAAGGATTTGGAGGTCAGAGGCATTAATCAAGCTTTTTATAAATTAAGCTATAGACAAAATCTTTAAGCTGCCACAGACATGGCAGGGGACCTGTTGAAGATTGCGAGAACTTGTGTAGGCAGATTAAAAAAGCATGATGTCAAACTTCTACTAAAATCAAACTTCTTGGTCTCTGCTGTGTAAAGCAAGAAATCCCCATAAGGCCGTGTCTACTGAAAAAAATGCATAGATTTTTCTCTGCATTCCATTCCTTGATCGGTCTCACAACCTGGGAACATAAGGAATGTTCTAGGCAATTCTACACACTGGAAAACAGCCTCTTGATGCCTGGCTGTGTAATTTGCCCTTTTCATTTTGCCAAATTCGGTAGTAAACCTGCAACATAACGGGGAGGAAGTGGACTCCTCTTATACATTTCCTTCCTCTTCAATATTTGAATCTTGCCAGCAGGTAGTTTATGCCATACTTTTATCACAAATTAACTTGATTAGCTAATTAATATTTGCAATTAATATTTGCATGAATACTTACAAAACATTTTAATGAACATACTCTGGGTTTCTGTTACTGAAATTTTTTTCACTTTCCCTATACGCACAATTTGTAAACTCAACACATATACCTGTGTTGCTGTTGACACATTCTTTATTTCCCACAATATCAGTAACAAGGTATATATCTTGTTTTGGCCATTTTCCCAGATATCTATCCTTTCTCAGCCAAGAGTATCTTCTGAGAGATTTCCCACACTTTCCCATGACATCATAAGACCCCTTCCCTCTGTCCCTTGAGCATATTTAAATTTGTAGCTGAACCCCTCATTTATCACTCAACCCTAGATCAGTCATAACCATTGACTCATTACTTGTGGGTATCTGTTCTGTGTGATAATCACAATTTAATACCTAATCCTGTTTTCAGTCTTAAACAGTTTCTTTTTTTTTAATGTCTATGTTTTTTTCCCATGTGATTTAGTTGGGGATTGACAGCGTATTCTGAAAAACATCACTGGTAAGTTAATAGCTGGTCATTTTTGGATTTGATATATTGATAACCTCAGTAAACAAATAATGTTATTGGCAGATATATCTACCAACAGGAAATGTTTCACCTAAGTGAAGCTAATTTTTTTTTCTTTAATACTTTGAGAAGAAGAAAAATTTGCTTCAAGGTTTATGTCCATTTCAGTCCCATGAATCCTGGTTGCTAGTGCTTAAGAGAGACTATGTCTGACTTCTCCTTAGTTATGTGAGTGTGGAATCTCAGCTTTTATGGGATAGGCAGACAGAATTCAGTTTTATATAAAGGATAAATAACCAAAACGCGGTATAAAAAAAAATCTTGGTATAAAAAAAACTTGGTATAAAAAAAAAATCTTGGCCTCAAACCTTTTCTTTCCAAATATGTAAGTTTTTTTCCCATTAATGTCACAGGATTTAGCCAGGCCAGTCTCCCTCGATACTGTACTGTGTCCCATTCTCCCACCCTAGCTGTGTCTAACCAACCACTAAACCATACTAGATCTGCCTCTTAATTGTCTGTCTGATGAGGCCATGTGTTCATTCATCTGTGTGGAATATTCCAGTCATCCTAAGTGCTCTTCATGCCTCTAATTTTACTTTTGTTATCTAGAATATTCTCTACCATGCCACCTAAGGGGCTTTCTAAAATGCATTGTGTTTCTTTCCTGCATTAAAGCTCTTCTACAGGATAAAATAGAAGATTGTTGGCACAGCATGCAAGGCTCTTTAAATATGAGGCTCCATCATCAGCTTTATGTCCCATGAGTTCCCCCTCCCCCCTTTTTCAACCTAATGATAAAATAGTAATCTGTCTTTAATTCACCATAGATTCCTTGCTCCTTCATCTCTACATGTCTAATGTATGTAATCCCTTTACTGAATCTTCTTCCATAATCTGTGCTGCGACTATCCTCTTCCTGCTGATGTGATAGACTCAATGTCATTCTTCTTTCAAACTACAGCTCAGATGCCCCAAAAGTCTTATCAGATAACTTTTATCTCTAGTCATTACTTATTTTTTCTTGGCATCGGTAGTATTTTGCACACGAGTACATAATTATAGAGAGGATTTTTTTGGACATGGTAATAGAAAGGTAGTCTTTATGAGAATCTAATGAATGAAGCAAAAATGTTTTACAGATTTCATTTTAATACTATTACAAATTATTTTTCAAAGAGGAATATATATCAATATAGAATATTGTATTATATAATATATATTATATATACAAATATTAGTATAATATTTGTATATATAAAATTATCTTGAAGTGGCCATGTCATTTTAACATCACTTACAGAATTTTCCTTTTATAAGACTCCTTTAGTGCATCCCCAAGTGTGCTCTTTCTATATTTGTGTTCAACTTTACTTTCTCTTTTTCTCACTGTTATAATTTATTTGTTTACATGCCTAGCTCCTCTAATAGACTATGTGAACCTTGAAGGCAAGATCTCTGTTTTATGTAGGTTTTCAATAAAAGGTTACTGAATCAGTGTTATTGAACATGAGGTAGTAGTTTTTCATTTAGTTCATTTTTCACAAGTATTGTGGGTATTAATGTTTATAATCCTAATGATGGAGGCTGTCTAAGCCTACTCTTAAGAAAATGTGCACATGTTTTTCTTCTTAGGCTCAGAGTTTTTAGGGAAAAAGATGTTTAACACCATGTACCTGAAAAAAGTAAATGACCATGGCCTTTCTGCCTATACAAAAATATTGCTGGTCCTTTTTTTTTAGCAGTTACCAAAACCTGTAGCTATATTGTGTTTAAACTATCATATATTACTATTATTTTGATCTTGTACATTTAACAGAAACCTGAAGCAACTTATACTGAAATACTCCTGTTTTGTTTGCATTAAGTCATGAATCAGGAAATATTCAAAGAAGTTTGTGATCACTTAATAACCAAACAAATACACTGGAGAACAGTTCTATCTTTTTGAACTATGTATTCTATAAACCTTGTTTTACAGGCACATTTGTTGTGATAGTCTACAAACTCAGATGGAGTGGATGGCCAATGTCTTCATTGCCCAGGTATGATCTCTGTTTCAGCTCTCTAGCAAAGTATAACCACTTACAGAAAATGTGTGATTTACAAATCATCTTTAATAAGAGTTTTAAATGTGTTCTTTTATTTTCCAGTTTATATATTTTTTGAATATATGAGAATCCGAATTTATCCATCACTCTTTGAAAGAGAGTTCACTCTCTTTTTTGAGGCTCCTTTCTTGGCACTCCAGCAACTCTACCTTACGAGCGGTGTACTGCTTCAAGATGATAGTATAAGAAAGAGGAGCTTGTTTTACTAGAGTCCCACATTCATCTTCATTTAGAAAAGTGTACTGTTTCCCTTCCTGTTCTCCCTATGGCCGCCTACTCCCACACTTCCCCCACCCTAGCCTTTCCAAAAACAAGGACAGGAACCTACATTCCTTTAATACTCATTGTGTGCTGGATTCTTCAGAAGAGTTAACTCATATTCTTTGCAACAACAGACCATGCATGATGTTGCTCATAGATGAGGGAATCATGGTAACAAAGATTCTGACACTTGCCAGCACCATGCATTTAGTTAGTGGTTTAAACCCAGGGGGGATAGAAGCTAATGCCTATACTCAATTCCCCATTTCATCTCCTCCCTATAGGAAGACTGTTGTCTTTGGGAGAAGGGTTAAATAGTCTCATTAACAGGATTGTTCCCCCCACACACACACCTTGTCTGGCTGAATTCCCAGCAATGCTTCCCACAAGAGCATTGAAATTCACTGGTAACGATTAAGTTGCCACTCTTTATTACTGAGGACGTACTTCCCTGTTTTTCTTATAAGTGGGAAGTTAATTCACCCCTAAATCTGGCCCTTACTTGTTTTGAAAACCATTTTCTCTGTTCATTTAATTTATTAACCTTTCCAGTGGTTAATAAACACTGGTCTTCTCAGCCTGATGTGCCTGCTACTACCTGAAAACACATAAGCAGAAAGGCTTAACTTTTTAAGAGACTTTTCCTCTTAATTGTGACTTCAGAAATTTAGATATTTGAGTCCTTAAAAAGAAAGCAAACTAGATTTGAAATGTTTCAGTTAAATTGAAACTATAGAGCCAAAACCATAGTGTCTGTGGTACAACTACACTGATTTGTTTTGTTTTTAAAATTGAAGTCACTAGACTCTGTGGTTGAAAATTAGGGTCTAAATAGAAATAGCCAGAAAGCAGAGGTTGCTCTCATGGCCAACTTATTTCTTCTCCCTGTCTCACCTATCCTTCCTCATCCTGGCCCTAGAGATTCAGCCCAATTACTTTTCATCTACTCATTCCACTTCTTTGGATTAAGATAAACACAAAGGTCTTCTTGGATTTAAGGATGTAATGGCTCACCTCCATAGGGAGATAGACAGGAAACTGGCAAATGCTCTTATATACCTGTTGACACACACACAGTAAGTGCTCCTTAATAGGCTTCTTTAGGATATGCAGAATACTTTTCTAATATCCAAACCCAGCTTCAACCCTGATTCAGAAGTCCTCTAGATTTCCACTAATGTGTCACATTCTCAGAGAAATTCTCCTTGATCTTCAGACCAGTCAGGTCTTCAAGCTCCAGGAACCCTTAACATTCTGTACTTCAGTTGTATTTCTAATTAGAAAGCATTGTGTAATTAGATTTTTTATGCCTGCTTCTCCTACTGAAATGTAAGCTCCATGAAAAGAAGGGCTCCCTCTGTCTTGTCTACAAGACCTATGTGTATACCTGCACCAGAGAACCCAGTGCCATTTACAAAGTACATGCTCAGTATTTCTAACATAAGAAAGGGGAGAGAGAACGTAAATAATTTGACAAAATTTCAAATAGATATTAGTTTAATAAAATAATAAAGTAAGAAAAAGGGACACCTGGGTGGCTCAGCAGTTGAGCGTCTGCCTTTGGCCCAGGTGGGATCCCAGAATCCCAGGATTGAGTCCTGCATCAGGCTCCCTGCATGGAGCCTGCTTCTCCCTCTGCCTATGTCTCTGCCTCTCTGTGTATCTCTCATGAATAAATAAATAAAATCTTTAAAAAAAAAATAAGAGAAAAAGTGAGTGAATGTGAATGAAGTAAGGAAGAACAGTAATTAGGAAAGGTTCTCAGGAAAATGCCTTCTGAAAAGCTGTCAGGTATGCTGAGACCTGACTGAACTTAGGGAGCAAATCATTAGGGCCCAGCAAGTACAAGGTCCTGAGATGTGTCTTAATCTTTGTTCCATGAACATCATGAAGGGCTGTGTGTGGAAAGATAGAACAGATCAGGAAGGCAGTAGGCAGATAATACACTTCCAGTTTAGAAGTTTGGGAAACAAGAGAAGGATTTTACCTCTTTTATATTAACTGAAGAAATAATAATTTAGTTTGTTGAGGGCATGCTGTTGGAGATCCAAAATTGAGGCAAAAAGAACAACTGTGTGGAAGATGGCAGCTCCGACCAAGGTGGTAAAGTGGACAGAGTAAGATATTAAGATTTAAGAACAGTTGAAAATGGAGCCAATAAAACTTACAGATTGATTGGCTACAGCAGTTTGAGAGAAGGGGTAAAAGTCAAGTAAGAGACATAGGGTTTTGTTTTAGCCTTGGCAGCTGGCAAATAGAAGTGATAAGATTAGAGATGCGAAGAAAATTGAGAGCTCTCTTTTGGCCATATGAAATTGGAGATGCCATTAGACATACAAATAAGTATGTTGAATAGCAGATTGACTGAGTTTTTGATCTATACATCCAAAGGGTTTCTGGCTGGCTCATTTGGAAGAACATGTGACTTTTGATCACAGAGTTGTGAGTTCAAGCCCCATGTTAGGTATAGAGATTATTTAAATAAATAAATAAAAATAAACTTTAAAAAACTAAGGTGAAGATTTGGGGATGAAGTGTCAATTTGGGGGAAGTCAGCATTCAGTTTGCATTGAAAGCCCTGGATTTGGGGGAGATATCAGAATAAAACGAAATGAGTATATGATGTAGGGAGACAAAGAGAAAAGGACAGAAGAATAAGCCCTGGAGCATTTCAAACTTTAAAAGTCAAGCAGAAGAGAAAGAAAAAAAGAAAAACAGGAAAAGAAATAAAAAGGGTTGCGAGGGAGGAAAAACAGATGACCAGTATAGAAAATCCAGGCAAGGAATTTGCTATGCACATAAAGGAGGCTGTGTGACTAGAAAGAGGAGGTCAGGGTAGGTTTTGGGGTTTCAATTTATATGTCTTTATGATGGGAGGGCATATACTTTGCACATATAGTAATGGAAAAAATTCAGTTATAGGAAAAAAATGATAGAGGAAAGAGATTTTTGGTGTGGGATTATTGGAACTGGGCTTTTTTTTTTCTTCCAAGTTTTTTTTTTTTTTAAGATTTTATTTATTTATGAGAGACACAAGAGGAGAGGCAGAGACACAGGCAGAGGGAAGAGAAGGAGGCTCTGTGCAGGGAGCCCAATGTGAGACTCGATCCTGGGAATGCAAGATCACACCCTGAGCCAAAGGCAGATGAGCCACCCAGGCATCCCACAACTTTTTATTTAGTTAGTTAACATATAGTATAGCCTTGGTTTCAGGAGAATGTAGTGATTCATCACTTACATACAACACCCAATGCTCATCACAAGTGCCCGGCTTAATGCCCATCGCCTGTTTTATCCACCCCCACCCCCACCTCCACCATCCATCAACTTTCAACTGGTTTTCTATAGGTAAGAGGGTTTTTTCCTTTAAAGATTTTATTTATTCATGAGAGATGCAGAGAGGTAGAGACATAGGTGGAGGGAGAAGCAGGCTCCCTGTGGTGAGCCTGATGCAGAACTTGATCTGGGAGCCCCAGATCACGATCTGAGCCAAAGGTAGATAGTCAACACTGAGCCGCCCAGATGCCCCTATAGTTAAGAATTTCTCTTTTTTTTAATTTTATTTATTTATGATAGAGAGAGACAGAGACAGAGACATAGGCAGAGGGAGAAGCAGGCTCCATGCAGGGAGCCCGACATGGGATTCGATCCCAGGTCTCCAGGATCGCGCCCTGGGCCAAAGGCAGGTGCTAAACCGCTGCGCCACCCAGGGATCCCTAGGTAAGAATTTCTTATAGTTTGCCTCCCTCTCTGTTTTATCTATTTTATTGAGGAGAGTATTAAACCAGCGGAAAGTAATTATTAAACCAGAAGAAGCCTTGAGCAGACATGATGCAGTGTGAACAAGTGCACATTTGGTCATCGTTGCTGAAAAAAATCATTGTACAACAGAGTGCCACACATTATTATTGACTGTATATTGTAGCCCACTGAGCAGTTATGACTGGAAAGATTAACAGTAAATACTGGCAAGAGAAGCCTCACTTCTATGACTATAAGATGCAGGGAGAGTGGTATATTTCATGATGGGAAAAATGAAATTCTTCAGTGATTAATAGTAATTTTTAAAATTAAATCAGTGCGCTCATCATCAGTGAGCTAGGGAGAGCTATTGGAATGGTAGGGGTGGAGAACAAATGAGAAATAATCTTTAGCTAGTTGCTATATATATATATACATATATATATATATAGTTGAACTTCAGCTTAATGCTGAGTGCTTACTTGAACTTTAAGTTCAGATTTAAAGTGAGAAGAATCTATAGGGTGACTGTCTTTTTTTCTTTCTTCATCAATTTGTAGGCACTCAGAGTAAGTAAAATTGAGTTTAGCTAGATTGAGGGCTTTTCCAAGCCAATATGATGAAAGGAGAAAGAGGAGAAGACTTGAAAATATTTATACTTACTGACTATGAAGTCTAAGATGGGCTGAGAAGGAAGTGAGGCAAGATGTGGAAAGTAGAATGATGGTAGAGAATAAATGGGAAGTCTCAAAGAGTCTAAAGAAGTGAACGAAACTAAATTGTTAGCCAGAAAAGTAAGAGGTCAAGGTCACAAAGACTAAGAGGCAGACTCATGTTCTTTGTAGCATTATTCACAATTGCAAAGGTATGTAAATGACCTCAGGTCATATCAAATGACCTAAGTCCAAGGATGAATAGATAAAATGTGTATGTGTGCATGTACACACACAAATATTATTCACCTTTAAATAAGAAAGAAGTCTTGTCATTTTTGACAACGTGGATGAACTTGGAAGGCATTATGCTGAATGAAATAAGCCACACAGACTGCAAGTATGGTTTATATGTGCAATCTAAAAATAAAAGTTGAATTCCTAGAAGCAGAGAGTAGAAAAGTGGTTGCTGGGTGGGTAGGGGAAACAGGGAGAGGTTGGTAAAAGGGTACAAACTTTCAGCTATAAGATGAAGGTTTCAGGATCTCATGTAAAACATAGTCATTGTTGAGATAGTTAATAATACTGTTATCACTGAAATTTGCTAAGAGTTGCACTTCCCCGTGCTCACCAAAATAAATGAGATGGTAGATGTCTTAACTTGTTGGGGGAGAATCCTTTCACAGCTTATACATAGATCAAATCATCACATGGTATACTTTCAGTTTCCTATAATTTTGTCAATTATGTCTCAAAGCTGGATGCGTGAGAAAAATAGAAAGTGAGAGATAGAACTGAAGATTTTGGGGTGTGATCCTCAGCTATATGATCCATACAGTAGAGCTCTTCAGGTCACTTTTAATAACCATAAATATCAGAGTGTATTACTAGACACTATGTTGGTATGCTGGAAAAATACCTCTTGGATCACAATCTGGGAAGAACTCATTAGCAGATATACACAACATCGTGTATCATGTCAGAAAAAGACATACTTATTTGAGACTGTTTGCTCTTAGATTTCTCTGAATATCATTTGGCACATGTATTATACATCAGTAAGTACAAGTGTAAGCATAATCCATAGGGTAATGAATTCCTTGCTAGCCAGTTTTCTATTAGCTTTACATGTTGAGAACATCCCAATTATATAATATCAAAATTATTTTTACCAAGTTTGGGGCTGTGACATAAACAAAGCATTATGAAGCCTATAGCTTTCTCTCTGAAATATTTAACAATCTACCATTATAGATTGCTGAACCAAAATAAATGCTTCACTAAAATTCAAAGGCACATCTAATGCATATATACTCAAAGATCTACGCTGTAGGACTGAAGATTAAATGAGATTGTATTTATATACAGATATAAATGTTAAGTAGAATTGTATATATTTATATGATCTACATTAAACGAGATTATGCACACTGATAAGCACAAAGTCTGGCAGTATGTCCCTCAATATGATCTCACCATTATATATGCGTACACAGTAAATTTTAGCTGAAATGAATTATTTGCCATAAAACACGTTAAAATACTAATTGTAATGTGAGACAGGAATGTGTTGTCATAAGAATAGGCATTTAACTATATAGTTTACCAAAAAGTTCTCATTTCATCAGAACATCTGTAAAGCTTATCATTTTATAATTGGTATTCTATATTTCTTTCATAGATGGTTGTCTGAAAATCAATTTGGTTTTGCCAACTTCTGAAAAGTTAATCTACCCTAAGGAGTAGAAAATTCTTTAAAGATTTTTCTTTTATATGCATATCTGAAGGATTTATCATTCAAGGGCTTATACTTTTACCTGTAAAAATGTCTCCCCATTGCAAAACTAATTTTTCTCCAGTCATATCTATTATCCAGTTGACCAGAATATGTAGTCAATAATTTGAGAACAAATGTGCCATAGTCTGTTATGCAATGATTTTCAGTATAAATGACTGTGTGCAAGATAATTTCTTTGGAATACAATTAGATGAAAAAGTAACATTTTTCAAAAGGTCATAAAATGAATCTAATTTTTCTGATAGCCATGCCTTAGGTTGATTTGAGGTCTAGGAGGTCAAATTATTTTTACATTAAAGTTGTCTTTGGTGGAGGTAGAAAATGAATGCATTATGACTTTGATTACAGGGCCTAGAAATACAGACAAGTGTATTATTTTTCTCCCACAAAGAGATTTGCCAGTTTCCTCAAATATTTTGCTCCTTTTGATTTGATAAGTAGTACAGAAGCCATGTATTTGAAACTTAGAAATTGAGCTGAGACCTCAAAGCTCTGTTCATTTAAGAGTCTTATATCCTCAAGCGATGCTGCTGCCAGAGTCAACATCATACTTACAAATGGCATTCTCATGGAAAGCAGATCATTTGATTTGGATATATGGAAAAGGAGCCAAGTGACTCTATAACATGATATGCCACATAATAAAACACACCAACAACAAGAAATTGTGTTTCCACAGCATGAAAATGATATATGGCCACCAGCTGGAAAGGAACGGAAACGTTCTATAACCAAAAATCCCAAAATTGGAGGTTTGCCTCTAATTCCCATCCAGCATGAGAGAAGTGCAACCCTAGCCCGGAGAAATATTGAGGTAGGTCAGGATTTTATTTGTCTTATATTAATGATAGCATTTATTTTCTTATGTCTTAATATGATTAAGTACATTAATTACTTCTTTGGCTTCAAAAGCACAACAGTAGTCTTTGGAAAGTATAGTAAAAAAATCACATCCAGCAAGAAAATATTATGAATAACTCTGTGCTCCTCCTTTAAGTTTTATATTTTAATTTTTCTTATAGAATTTTAGTAATGTCACTGACCATCCAATTCAGTATGCATAATACCACTTATTTTCTTACCCCTCACGTAGTCAGATAGTTTTAAATGTGTATACAGAAGTCTGCCTGGTAAAAATCACAGTCTCAAATTAGTCTTACGAGTTCACTTCTAACACCCTTAGAATGAGCCCAGGGCCGATTATGTCTGGAGCCATGGTAACTAGACTTTCTAGTAACACAATCAAATTCCAGTGGTTTGGGAACTGATGGGGTGTCGCAGTTAATTTAAGGAACTGCAAGATGACCCCTGAGCATCAATAAAGAAGACCTGGCATTTTTCAGGAAAGTGGCTGTTTGTTTTCCTTCTCACCTTGCGGGGAGGGGAGACCATACAGAGCATCAATCTTGACTTGAAGTTCAGTCTGTTCAGGAAAGGAGAAAAGCTGTTCTCATCAAAACTCATTAGATACTTTGGGATTAATGCGTGTTTCAGGGCCTTAATTGAGCCCCCTCAAAGCAAAGAGAAAAGCATTAAAAAAGTACTATTTCCTCGGGATTTGGGAGTGAACTGTTTGAATCTCTTTGTCTCCAAACAGAAATAACTTATTTTAAAAGACTAAAGCTATTTTAATTTAGTGGTCAGATTTTAAAAATATTTTTTCCATGTATATATTCCCTTGAACATTTATTCCAGTATAATATTCCTCTTCACTAAAAGATACAAACTGTGAAAATAATGGTTGTTTCCTTTGTTGCCTATTTGGTCCTCCTGCACTTGTAGGTATTCTTGGTTAAAAAAAAAAAAGTCTGTGCAACAATGGATTCCTCGACTAATCTAGAATCTTAAAATTCTAAGAGCCATATTTCCAAAAAACCCTGATTAGGAAACAGAGTTTGAACAAATGAAGCAAACATAGGAGTAGATGTGCTCTGCTGGGACCCCAGCTTTTTCTCATGTTGCCTTAGGATCAGTTATGGAGCAAAGCAAAAGATAAATTATTAGGACCAAATCAAAATACATTAACTGGAATCTAGTATAGAATTAGGACGATAACTAAATATATAGTATAATATAGTTTGTTAGCTGATCTCAAATCCAGAATTTCAGAGAATTTTTTTTTCTGTTTTAGCATACTTAAGATCAGAAAACTGATAACCTCTAAACTGCAAAGAACTTGTTATAGGTTCTTAAAAAATTCATAAAATATTAATTGCTAGAAAATTTATGAGTAGTTTAGCTAAATTAACTTTCTTGTAAATTTTATAAACATGGTGATTCAACAAATTTGGCAAAGAAAAATTTTAAATGCTCCAATGTTGGAAAAACATTGGAAGGTTAAAAGCATTAAAACAGAAACTAAAAATTTCATATGAACCATTAAGATATTTGTTATAGGATTAGATTCATGTAAATATTTAAGAAAATATATTAATAAAATGACTAATCACTTTCGATCCTTGTTTTAAAAAGGAAAAATGGCTAAAAATATTGTTAAGTGGGGGCAGGAGGCTTGTGATGCAGTTAGTTTATCATCCAACTCTTGATTTCTGCTCAAGTCATGATCCCAGGATCATGAGCTTGGTCTCCCTGCTCAGGGAGGAGTCTGCTTGGGTTTCTGTCTCCCTCGTCTCTCCCTCACTCTTTAATTAAATAAATCTTTAAATAAATATATTGCAAAGTAGGATATATTCATAAGAAAAATATTTAGTCACATCAATGGATATATTCAATAATTGTTTTTCATACAAGGTGTCAGGAGATTGGTAAATTTGGTGCTTTGGCCATATGATGACTTCCCATTTCATGAGGTTCTATTGAAAGTTGTATGAGGATACCTCATTCAGGCAGGAAATCTTCCTGGAAAACGTGACTTCTAAGATTAATTAAGTGAATTAGTAGTAAGCTAGCTGAATAAGCCAGAGAAAGTAAGTTGTTTTCAAAGGAAATCACACATGAAGAGGCAAACATAGTGCTCAAGAATGCACATGCTAGCTCCTATCTCTGATTTGGGTACCTCCTAACTTCATTGTGCTCAGCCTTTTTATCTGTAAGCATGGAAATATAATAAAAGGCTCTACCTTATAGGGCTATTGTGATAATTCAATGATATCATACTAATAAGGAACTTGGAAAACAATTTGTGATCATTTATTTCCAAACAAAAATAATGACCAAAGAGGAATGATGCAGTTCCAGCACAAAATGGTGACCTAGACTCTTACCCATTACACACTTCTCTCGCCACCCTGGAACACATAAAGAGGCACATTACTTCCAGAGAGGCCAACGTTGGCATCCCTTTCCAAATTCCCACTATGTGACATTGGGCATATGGTCATTTCTTTGCATTTCTATTTCTGTCTTAAAATATACTTTATGGTGCAAATAATCATGTTTATTTACTGTTGATAATACACTTAAAGCAGTAGTTTGATAGGATTATATACAACACAGAGATTATCAACTAATATAGTGAGTTTAGTAGTGCATTTCTGCTATAATCCACATGTTGGTCATTGTACGTTCTGGTATTGTGAGGCCTCCATAACCAGTGGCCCACATCTGGATATAATGGCAAAATGGAAGTGGGCACAGACTAAAGCCATGTGAGTGGTTTGCCCTGAAAAACATGTTCCTGCACCATGTTCTGGCTGTGATATAGGAACTACTCTCTGCAGAGAGAAAGAGTACTTTTCGCACTGCCATTTCCAGTCAAACAACTACTTTTCTCTAAACATACTCTGACACCCACTGGCATCATCTGGACCATGTTACGTCTCGCTCCTGTAATTTCATACCTTATCTATCCTTCTTTCTAAATTATTAATGCCTTAACTTTTAAGGACAGTATAGCACATAACTATGTTCTCCTTTCCCCAGAACATGAAAAGCACTCCCAGAATACCATGTTGTTTACTCAAAACCTCACTCTCTCCCATCCTCTCAACTTTTTCCTTTTTAAAGATTTTATTTATTTATTTGAGAGATAGTGAGTGAGCAGGTAAGAGGGAGAAAATCAGCAGACAGACTCCCCGTTGAGCACAGAGCCCAATCTGGGGCTCGATCTCATGACCCTGAAATCCTGAAATCATTACATGAGCCAAAATCAAGAGTCAGATGCTTAACTGACTGAGCCACCCAGACACTGTCCCATCCTCTCTACTCTTAGCAGGTCATTCCCACCACCTCTCCACCTTCATACAAGATTGAATATCTTAGCCTAATATTAAAGTTTACTTGAAATCTCAGCATTACCTGTGTGAATATTTGGCCCCTAAATTCTATATCTAAGAAAATCCAAAGTCTATCTGCTAATGGTTGAGAGATAATGAGAACTGTTACTATGGACATTAAAAACTCCACTAAAAAACTATTAGAAGTGATAAACGAATTCAGTGAAGTTGCAGGATACAAAATTAATATGCAGAAATACGTTCTGCTTCTGTACACTAAACAGAATATCAGAAAGAAATTAAGAAAACAGTTGCATTTGCAATTGCAAGAATATAATAACCTGGGAATAAAACTTAAAGAAGTGAAAGACCTCTACTGTGAAAACTATAAAACATTGATGAAAGAAATTGAAGACGACACAAACAAATGGAAAGATTTTCCATGCTCATGGTTTGGAAGAACAAATATTGTTAAAATGCCCCTAGTACCAAGGCAATCTACAGATTTAATACAATCCCTATCAAAATGCCAATAACACTTGCCACAGAACTAGAATAATTCTAAAATTTGTGTGGAACCACAGAAAGATTCTGAATAGCCAAGGCAATTTGAGAAAGAAGAACAAAGCTGAAGGTATCACAATCCCAGGTTTCAAGGTCTACCACAAAGGTATAATATCAAAACAGCTTGGTACTGGCATAAAAATAGACATAGATCAATGGGAAATAGACATAAATCAATGGAACAGAATAGAAGACCCAGAAATGGATCCATAGCTATATGGCCAACTAATCTTTGACAAAGCAGAAAAGAATATCCAACAGCAAAAAGACATCTCTTCAATAAGTCATGTCAGGCAAACTGGACAGCTACATACAGAAAAATGAAATGGGACCATTTTCTTACACCATATACAAAAGTAAATTTAAAATGGATTACAGACTTTAAATGTGATACCTGAGCCATAAAGCTCCTAAATAAAACAGTAATCTCTTTGACATTGACCTTAGCAACATATTTTTGGAACATCTCCTTAAGCAAGGGAAACAAAAGCAAAAATGAATCACTTAGAACTATACCAAAGTAAAAAGCTTTTGCACAGCAAAGGAAACCAACATAAGGCAACTTGCTGAATGGGAAAACATAGTTGTAAAAGGTATCTCCAATAAGGGGTTAATATCCAAAATACATATAGAACTTTTACAACTCAACACCAGAATAACAAATAATATGATTAAAATGGGCAGAGGACCTGAATAGACATTTTTCCAAAGAAGACATACAGATGGCTAACAGAGACATGAAAAGATGTTCAACATCACTAATCATCAGGGAAATGCCAATCAAAACCACAATAAAAAACAAAAACAAAAACAACCATCCCACAATGATGTATCATTTTATTCCAGTCAGAAAGCTGGTATCCAACAGACAGGAAATAACAAGTGTCAGTGAGGCTGTGGAGGCAAAAAAAAAAAAAAAAATTCACATTTCCCTATTGGTGGGAATGTAAATTGGTACAGCCACTATGGAAAACAGTATGGAAGTTACTCAAAAATAGAAATACCATACTATCCAGTAATTCCACTACTGTGTATTTACCCTAAGAAAATTAAAAACAAAACAAAGAGAAAACATTAATTCAAAAAGATACATGTACCCCTATGTTTATTGTAGCATTATTTACAAAAGCAACAGAAGCATCCCAAATGTCCAGAGGTAGTCACATGGATGAAGAAGTGGCATATATGTATAGAATGGAATATTAGCCATAAAAAAGAATAAAATCTTGCCATTTGCGACAACATGAATGGACTTAGAAGATACTACGCTAAATGAGACCAGTCAGAGAAAGATAACATGTGATTTCACTTACATGTGAAATCTAAAAAATGAAACATGGGAAGGATGCCAGATGGGAGGAGGGTTGGGAATGGGCAAAAATGGGTGAAAAGGAGTGAGAGGTATACAGGTTTCCAGTTATGGAATAAATAGGTTATGGGAATAGAGTAGTCAAATGATACTCTAATAGCACTGTAGGATGACAGGGGTAGCTACCCTTGTGGTAAGCATAGCATAACACAGACTCATCAGATCACTATGTTGTATGCATGAAACTAATGTAATTTTGTGTGTCTACTATAATTTTTTTTAAAGTCTCTATTGCTCCTTAATTTTCCCTAGGTAAGAGATGCCCAGTAAAACATAATGTGTTTAATATTTATAAACTCCCAGTCACATCTCTATGCTGGTCATCTCTATGCCATCATTCTCAATAATTTTTCATTTTTTTTACAAGGCAGGAGTTATTTTGTTGTAGTGAAATAAATGTAACATAAAACTATTCATCGTAACCATTTTTAAGTGTATATACAATAATGACATTCACATTGTTATGCAAGCATCACCAATTTCTCAGTATTTTAACATATTCAAATGAAACTTTGGAATTAAGCTAGATACTAAATATTTCATCAGTTTTTAAGGTAGAAGAAATGTATTTGCCTGAGATATTTCTATCAGAAAATTCCAAGTTATGAAATGTATAAAATACATTTGTGAAAATACTTGTATTCAGCCTGAATTTGTATGTTTCAGTTCCACATCTGAATTTGATGGAAGTTAGGGAAATAGAACAGTGTTATACATTTGAAAAATTTTAAACCTTTCTTTATTTACTATTTAATAAATAAATGGTCATTTCCTAAGTAGGCTGTGTACTAGGTTCACACTTCAGTGAACAAATCAAACAAAAACCCTGCTTGCATGGAGTCTTTCTAGCAGGGCATTCAGATAATCACATTAAGTAACTGCCATAGAGAAAAATAGAGCAAGATGGGGTGTTGTCTTTCAAACATTATTATATCGAAGATCTTTTCTGTTTATGCTACTCAGTTTCATACTTATATTACCATTTTCATTACATCTTCTTCCAATATTCTTAAATTCTTCTTCAGATTTTTGCTTTGTAGGCTTTGCAGTTTTTACTGGGGAAATTTTGAAGATGTTTCTTTAATGCTTTTTGTGAAAAGAAAAATAACTTCTCTCTCTGCTCCACCTCCACCCTCGTCCAGTTCGTTGGGCATCCTTTCTATGTGGCTCCATACTGCTCTATGCTTTCGATTCTCTGTTGTTTGTTCTTGTATTTTACACTTGATTTAATTGTTGTACCCTTTGATAGTCTGATGCTCTGTATGCCAGAAATTGCCCAGTCACAAGATTTTCTGAACCCTAGTTAGGAAAGCACACCTTTATAGCTCAGTGAATTAATGTGCACTCTAATCGCTGGGTACAAAAGTGGATTTAATACATAACTATTTACGTATATATTTCATTTTTTTAATTTACGTATATATTTCAGTGTTTTCAGAAATGTATCTGTGGGATTCTAAAAGGCACTGTGTGGAAGAAAACAAAAAGAAGTTAAACAGATCTCTCTGCCATAGAACTTCTCAGCATTTTTAACATACTAATATGTACTGTTAGTCTCAAGGAGGGGGCTGTAGTACAAGTATAGGGCCTGTCCCCAAATCACATGGCCATAGACATGATGCTGTAGGAATTACAGATACATGAACATGACACATTCAAGCAGAAATGAATTGGAAGAGGCGAGTTTGAAATGAGAGTCAAGCTGAATAACTAACCCGAGAGACTTCTTTGAAGCTGTACATTAAATGCATGTTACAAGGGATTTCCACAATCTACCTCTCCGTTGATTTTGTAGCTCTAAGGTGCCCATATGGATCTCTTGGTTGGTCAGTTCCAACACACCAGTTATGTCGAAGTTAGAACCCGAATCCTAGAAATAAGCACGAACATAAGAAGCATCAACGTTTAGGTGGCATTTGGGCCTTTTAAACTTAAATTGTAGCAAATCTTGCATTCCTGTGAGATGTTGTGTTTTGTTTTCAGAGTGCGAGGGCAGAACTGGAAAGACTGCAGCTCAGTGAAAAGCGGGATCAGGAGTTGGGGGATAGCAGCATCAAGGAGAGAGCCTCCATGGTGGCCCACTGCCTGGAGCACAAGGACGAGAAACTTCGAACTCGAACCAGAAAACACCGGAGTTTCAACTGTCTGGAGGACACAGAGGCAGAGGTCCTTCCCGGGCCACAGAAAAGCCATAAAGGCCTCAAGACATTGAGGAAGACGGAGGACAGGAATGGCAGGGCTGCTTTGGACTCTGATAGTAAGTTACCATCGAGGGTGATTGAAGAACTCAGCGTGGTGCTGCAGCGGACGAGAACCTTCCCGAAAGACTCACAGGGTGAGCAGATCTTGCCGAAGGAGATTAATTAGTTTTGCAATTTTTTTTAAAAAAATATTGTGTACAGTATGTATGTGCAAACCAGAAACCAAACAGTAAAATTCATGGTGTGTGAGATTTGTCTGGCTATACATAAGCATTTAAATAGCATTTTAAAAATCTCTGTGTACATAATGTGATAAGTAGAAGATGACGCTTTTTTTTAGGTCTGAACAAAGCTTGTACAGTTCCACTGTATTGACCATGTTTAAGAAGGCATTGGGTTACTTTGACTCAGCCAGACTTTTGCAGCAGTTGCCTGTTGAATGGTGTAATTTATGAGCAGAAATCTCAAACTGTACTGTACTGTACTGTATAAAATGCTTTGTTTAAATGAAGCCTACGAACCTGTATGTAACACGTTTTGCACTTTGAGAAACCTCGTATATTCAGTTACCATACGTTTTTAGGTTTACATAGGGTCCATCTTACGGAAAAGAAAGGGAAGCGGAAAGGAGAAGGATCATTTTAGTGGCTGCCTATCAACCATTGGGGTTTTAAAAAGGGGCAAGGAAACGAAGGGGGTCAGTGAAGTCCTGATCCGCAGTGAACGAGGAGGACTCCTATTAATAAGGAACTGCTTGTTAAGAGAAAAGCCTAGTGACTGTGTCCCAAGACAACATTCAACCAACAAACACCAGTGATGACGGCACAGGCCACGCTCACTTGCCGTGTTACTGACCGGGCCACAGAACACACTCACTACACTCGGTTCTGCGGAGGTGGCTGCCGACAAGGAGCGTCCGCTGCACTGAAGACCGTGTGTATGCACAGGACCTGCCATGACGCCGTTCGCACTGTCACTATAGACGTTTTGTTTTCGTACAAACTCACTGTCACAGGGTTTTGTTATTGTTTTGTTTGATGCTTTTGTTATATTTTTATTTTGTATTTCATTTCTTAAGTCAGGTGGTAATGTGTTTCTCTGCAAGGTCAGAATTAACTGGAAATGTACAACATATGGCCATTTTAGTCGAGTCTCTTTATTTAAAAAAAAAGTAGTCTCCTCCTTGTGCTTAATAAATAATAACAAAGCCCTCTCTTAACTGCTTCCACATCAAAGTCAGCCACTGAGTTAGTGATCTTCCTCCGACAAATACTGTCTAATTACAGTTCATGTTAGGGACAGCGCTTTTCACTGGTTAAAGAATTTTATTAGGTCTAATGAGTTTTGATTAAAATTACATAGCTAAGCTCTATTTCGACCACTTATTTTCCCCCAGTTTTCAGGTTTCTTCTTCAAGATCTATTAAGCAAAGGCCCATACTTTGGTCAGTCCATCATAGTATAGTAATATACCCTCAAATGCTCTAAATTTCTTCATTGTAAAATACCGATTACTTCTATTTGGTGGTGATATTATAGTTTACTACCATGGGTGTGTGATATTTATTCTTTAAAAAAAATTCCAATCGATTTGGATTTAAAGAAACTGCAGGTCAGTTTATAAAACAAGTAGCACTGCTGAGGACGCTTCATTTAAAGCAAAAATTATGGTATTTAGGAAAAAAAATCTTAAGCTATTTTTCCTAATAAGTGATAATATTTATGAAGTAAGTAGGCAATGACAATGTTTGACACCAGAAAAGTATCTGGAGGTTTTTTTTTTTTTACCTGCGTTGTCTGAATATTTTTGAAATTGGAGCTTAAAATCTGGTAGTTGTTCCCCTTTCTTTTTCATGAGTAAAATAAGGGCTAATGATGACGTCTCATACTTTGAATAAATTGTCTTACAAGTCCATTTGAACGTGATTGTTATTTCAAAATAATCTTTAACTTCTGAAAATAAATTGAATCTTCTTTCTTTTTCCTTTTTATTTTTTTGAGAAGACTTTTTAAAAATTTTTTAAATAATAAATTTATTTTTTATTGGTGTTTAATTTACCAACATACAAAATAACACCCAGTGCTCATCCCATCAAGTGCCCCCCTCAGTGCCCACCACCCAGTCACCTCCACCCAGCGCCCTCCTCCCCTTCCACCACCCCTAGTTCCTTTCCCAGAGTTAGGAGTCTTCCATGTTCTGTCTCCCTTTCTGATATTTCCTACCCATTTCTTCTCCCTTTTTAAACATTTGAATATATACTTCAAAGAAAAGCTATATCATACTGTCCAAACAGGTCACCATGAATATTACTCTATTTTAAATGATGAATATATACGGAGATAGGACACAAACATATGGATGGTACTCTTTCATTTCTGTAGCCCTAAAGTTAATTACTAGACATGGTTTTTAAGTATTTGACTTCTAAACAAATCATTAATTGATGATTTATCAAAGTGACACTGAAAATTCAAAACTAAGCAAAAGTAATTGAAGCAAAATATGACTTGTGTATATAACTATAATAGCTGCCAATATGCATTATTCAGATGGCAATTTATAATTCTAAAATACACAAACTATTGAAAAAGGAAGTATTTTTGAAAATGTATCGAATTTATTTGAAGCAACTGTAGTATTCACATATTTTCATGTTATCTCAAACTTTTGAAAATCATTGTGGGGAAAAGATGAAAACTTTTACCATCTTATCAAAATTTGCACCGAGACTTTCATAATTATCATTCTCTCAACAAAAGAATTCTGTTTATAATGTGAACAGTTGTCTGTCATGTGTACAATCATGTTTAATCATCTGGAAATGCAAAGCACAGAAATGAATATTAAGTTACTAAAATTAACCTGTTTTTTTATCAGTTATTATTTTGAACAATTTTTTATTGCAAATGTGCTAGGTTATAATGTACATTCCTGCCTTCTCTGCCATGGCTACCATATGAATGTCAACTTAGTAACATAGCTCTATAGACTTAAGACCTTTTATGAATTATGGACTCATGTACAGAATCTAAATGTCCTCATCTGAGAAGTGGGAATAACACCTATCTTGTAGACATCTTGTGATGACTAATTGTATATATATATTTATATATGTGTTTGTGTATATATACATAAACACACACATCTATCTCTTAGAGTTTTAATAAATGTTGCTTATTAATGTATTAGTTTTTCTAGCTCTCCTTTGATTCAAGTCCTGAGACTTCTTACTCATTTTCAAATTGTCTCTATCAGTTTTCTTCCCCATCATTTTTAAAATATGCACTGATACAATAGATTACCATAGGTTGTGGGCTGAATTGTGTTCTTCCAATCCCCCCAGATGTTGGAGACCTAGTCCCTAGCACCCTAGAATATGGACTATTTGGAATGGGGTTTTTAAAGAGGTGATCAAGTTAAAATGAAGTTATTAGTGTCAGACCTAATCAAATCTGACTGGTGTCCTTAAACAAAAACAGGAAATTTGGACACATGAAGAAACATTGGGGCTATATGTGCACAGAGGAAAGGCCATGTGAGGACATAGCAAGAAAACGGCTATCTGTAAGCCAAGGAGAGAGGCCTCAGACAAAACTAATATCTTGATCTTAGACTTATAGCCTCCAACCCTATAAAAAGGTCCTATTGTTTAAGCTCTACCCTTAATGAAAGTCCTAGCACACTTTTGTGTTAATACAGATACCAAACAGAATACTCCTAGTATTTGTGTTAATACAGATACCAAACAGAATACTCCCTAGTATTTGTACGTATTGGTTCTTACACTCTGGTTACTCCACATAGCGGAAGGTAACATTACATCAGTGTAATCAATACAGTGTAATATTATAGGTACCATAAAGATTAATGGAGGATAAAGCATGTTGAGATGTAACTACTTGGAAGTCCGCTAGCCAGATAACTTGAATGCTGAAATAATATAAATGAAAATTTGCCCAGCAGAATTTTAGTTTGTGTCTGCCTATAAAGATTCAAGTTCTATGACCTCAAGAACACTATTTCAGCAGAGTGAAGATACTGACCCTTTACACACCCGATAGAGAATACTGTGAATCCTTTCAACGAACAACCAAAGAGATCTTGAGTTCAGTAACAGTTTTCACTAGACTAGAGACACAAAGTTACTTCAGTCAACCCAAACTGTAATCTCACTGCCTAAGAGTGGATCAACACTAACCTTCATCAAATAAAAGTGGCATTTGCTTCTCATTGGAGGGGATCTCATCTTCCTTCCCCTATAGCAAATTGTCTCATTTGCCACCTTTTTAAAATCCTCTCCTTGTTTCTTCCTTTTCTTTTTTTCTTTTTAAAGATTTCTTTATTTGGGAGAGAAGAGCACAGGAAGGAGGGGAGGCAGAGGGAGAAGACTCTCCACTGAGCAAGGAGCCTAATCCGGGGCTCAATCCCAGATCCCAGGATCCTGGGATCTTGACCTGAGCCAAAAGTAGATGTTTAACTGACTGAGCCCCATATTCCCTCCTGTTTTGTCTCTGAATTCTCCATCTTTATGTTTCCTGCTATTTACCGTAACTACTCCTGCAAGATCAGAACAACCACATTGCTAATTCAAATGGTCCCTTCTCCGTTGTTGTACCTGACCACCCATCATCATTTGTAGCATATCACACAGTTGATTACCTTACCTTTGTGGAATACATTCTAGCATTGGTCTCCAGATCTTTCTATCATATGGTTTTCTCCTTCTTCACTAGTCAGTCTTGGGTCCCCTACTGGATACTCAGCTCTATATAACTGAACTAGAAGATTTCAATTTCATAGCTTCAAATACAGTATGTATTCTAACTAAATAGTTTCAATCTGTACTTACCATTGAGCTCCAGACTGTAATTTACATTTCTACTTGAGTGTCCAGCTGTCATCTCAAATATACCTAAAGTTCTTTATCTTTTCCTCATCTTTTCCATTCCACCCTCTTCTGCTCTTTCTAGGATTCGTGTACAGAAAGATGAAGATTATTTAGGTAATGATCAGCAGAGTTGGCATTTGAATGCACAGTCTAGCTCAAAAGTCCACACTTACAAACTCCACATTAGATTTCCCAGACCGCTGTCCTTTCTCACCTGAATGATTACAAAAGATTCAACTTGTCTTAACTTGTACTATGTGGAACAAATCACAAATTAATCTTTTTAAATATAAGGAAAAGCCCAAATTAATCTTCTTAAATATAAAATAGTCTCTCCTAACAACCCCTGAATAGCTTTCTATTTCTGTTAAATGGGAAGTATCTATAAATACAAGCCCTGGAATAATTGGTTTCAATGTACCAACTACTGCTTACGTCATCTCACCAATCTTCACCTCCCTCACTTTGCTACAAGCATACTTGTTCCTCAGAATCAACAGACTTGAAGATGCTTTATCTTTGCATAAACTAATTCCCTGTCCAGACACACACATATCTCACTGCAACCTTCATGTAGGTCACCATCAAATGGCTCAACAGACCTCTGTTATCCCATATAAAATGGCATCATCACTTTCTATCCCCTTTATCTTCAATCATAGGACTTATCACCACCTAACAGTTTATAGACTTACTAGTATACATATTAATGGTCTAATTACTTCCAAAAGAATCTGTCAGTGTAGAATCTTAGGTTACCACTATATTCCCAGCAGCTAGAACAGTGCCTGTACATAGCTTATGGTCACTACTGAAATATATATTAAATAAATGAAGTCATAGTATTAGGAAATAGTTTGATGAAGGAAAGTGGTCCCACCAAAATCTAGGAATAATGGATTTAAAAAAATCTGTAAAGGCTATTACTGAAACGAATAGGAAAAACTGTGGCTACATTCTGAGGAAGTAGGACCATTCAAGATGTGAGTGGATATTGTACAGCTGCAGTTTACCTGAGGGTATTCAGGGAATCTATACAAAGGGAAATAAATTGAAAATAATCTGGTCTTTGATCAAGATGCTTTTTGTAGTGAGATAAATCAGAGCTTTAGAACCCTTGTGTAGCTAAGGAGGCAAAAATGGAGACTCAAGGAACAAAAATCCTAGGACTAAGGGAACCATGAAAACTAACGATAGCTGGCTTTCCACTTAAGGCAATTTGCTGAATAATGGTGCCACATAGGGCAGTAGTAGGCTAATAAGTTCAGCAGGAAGGCTTCAATAGCAGAGTGAACTTTTTGGTAGGCTTACAGTACTAAGAAGGCAAACATTCAACTTTATTTACTATCATGAAGAGGTTCCCTTGTGAACATACAAGCTCTAGTCAGAAACCTTGGAGATCCATATGGTTAGAGCATGTATGAATTGGAATCTTAACAGAACATGGTGAAAACTGCCTCACAACCTCAATTCATCTCAGTCCCTAATTGGGTCAAGATCAGTTTTCTCTGCTGAAACAGGAAAAATAGTATTATGTAGAACTGCAATTTTTTTTTCACTGCCTGGCATGAAAAAGAAAAAAAAAAGGCATCCCCCTTCTGGTGCCAAAACCAGATAAAGATACTACGAAAAAGAGAACTATAGGCCAATGTCCCTGATGAACATAGTTGCAAAAACCCTCAGCAAAACAAATTGCATCCAAAAATACATTAACCCATTTACCATGATCAAGTGGGGTTTATTTCGAGGATACAAGGGTGGTTCTGTATTCACAAATCAGTAAACATGATACATCAACAAAACAAAGGATAAAAACCATATGATCAATAGATTTTTTAAAAAAAGCATTTGACAAAGAACAATATTCATTCACAATAAAACCCTTCAACAAAGTAGGGTTAGAGGGAACTGAGCCACAGTGATCAGAAAAGGAAAAGGAATTAAAAGCATCCAAATTGGTAAGGAAGTAAAACTATCACTATCTTCAGGTGACATGAGATACTATATATAAAAACCCTAAAGATTCCACCAAAAAAGTATTACAACTAAAAAATGAATTCAGTAAGGTAGCAGGATACAAAATCAATGTACAGAAATTTGTTGCATTTCTATGAATAATGAATCAACAGAAAGAAATTAAGAAAGCAATCCCATTTACAGTTGCACCAAAAATATAAAATACCTAGCAATAAACTTAACCAAAGACCTGTACATGAAAACTATAAAATATTAATTAAAGACAACACAAATGGAAAGATATTTCGTGCTCATAGATTTAAAGAATAAACCTTATTAAAATGTCCACACTACCCATAGTAATCTACACACTGAATGTAATCCCTGTTAAAATACTAACAGCATTTTTTCAAACTAGAATAATCTTAATGTTTGTATGAAACTACAAAAGATGCTGAACAGCCAAAACAATCTTGAAAAAAAAAACTGGAGATATTACAATTCTAGAGTTCAAGTTATACTATGAATCTATAGTAATCAAAACAATATGGTACTGGCACAAAAACATAGATCAATACAACAGGATAGTAAGTCCAGAAGAAAACCCACAATTATATGGTTGATTAATCTTCAACAAAAGAGGCAAGAATATGCAATGAGAAAAATATAGTCTTTTCAACAAATGGAACTAGGAAAAATGGACACCTACATGCAAAAGAATGAAACGACCATTTTCTTACACCATTCCCAAAATAAACTCAAAATGATTAAATACTTGAAAACCTGAAGCTATGAAAGTCCTAGAAGAGAGCACAGGCTGTAATTTTTCTTGACATTGGCCATAACATTTTTCTAGGTATGTCTCCTCCAGCAAGGGAAACAAAAGCAAAAATGAACTATTGAGACTATCTCAAAATAAAAAGTTTCTTCACAGCAAAGGAAACAACAAAACTAAAAGACAACCTACTGAATGGGAGAAGATATTTGCAAATGATATATCCATTAAAAGGTTAATGTTCAAAATACATAAAGAATTAATGTAACTCACCACACAAAACACACAAATAACCCCATTGAAAAAATGGGCAGAAGACATGAACAGACATTTCTCCAAAGAAGACATATAGAAAGCCAACCAATACATGAAAACATGCTCAACATCACTCATTGTCTGGGAAACACAAATCAAAACCACAATGAGACATCACCTCAAACCTATCAGAAAGTCTAAAATCAAAAACACAAGAAACGGGCACTTGGGTGGCTCAGTGGTTGAGCATCTGCCTTTGGCTCAGATCCCAGAGTCCTGGGATCGAGTCCCACATCAGGCTCCCTGGAGGG